GGGGGAGGGGGGGGGTGATGGCGATGTTGGCAGGCACTGATGGCGATCGAGAGTAGAACGATGTGCGGCGGAAGGCGAGCATGGAGCGCGCAAAGAAGGTCAAGGCTCGGCTGAGTGCATCCAAGGAAGCTAATCAATGAGTTAGCTGGCTGGCTGTGTTGCGATGACATAAATCAGAGACCGTAAGGAGGACGATGCATGCAAGCCAGACCGTGTCCGGGCCAGTGCAGGCCAGTGCACCGATCAGAGACATCGCCAGCATACATAGCCCTCATCTCCCCTTACCTCCCCCCCCCCCCCCACCCACCCACCCACCCCGATTAGTCTCATCATCCCTCCTCATGCTGCTCCATGGCCGAAAGACTCGCCATGCGCTCTGCCGTGGTGGCCAATCTGGACCACAGCCGCCAATGAGGCGAGGCGAGGCCATCACGCGGGACAGCCACCACCACTACCACTACCACCACCACCACCACCCCTCTCCCCACACCCCCTCTCCCTACCACCACCACCACCACCACCACGACCACCACCACCACCACCACCGCCACCACCACCACTGCCACCCAGCACGCCAACCCATGTCATGGCTCTCCCGCCCGTCATCAACGTACGAGGCGTACCTCGTCCGTGGCAGCCTCTGGCACAGCGGGAACTGCACCCTCTGCACTCGGGCGTCGAGCTCACCACCGCCGCACCATCCGTCGGGCAAAGGCAATGATCTGCAGTGCCCCCTTCATTGGCTCCCATGCTCACGATGCCCACGGGCATACCATCCAGGATGCCTCGCCACACACGTCCTCCCGCTTCTCAACTCGCTCCTGCCCAACTCGTCTATGGCGGCAGATACCTGGTCGTGCCCGGCGTGTACCCTCCGCTCTGTCCTTGCCGATACCACAGAGCCGAGAAATGCTCCGGCGGCTCTGCCTCGAGTCACCGCGGCGCTGCTCGCCGAGGGCCATGCCACCTCGATGGATGTGGCAAAGCGCCTGAGTGACCGCTTCCCCATCTACTCGGGCAAGCGGGGAAACAAGGCCGCCTACCCCTCACTCGCCGCTCTCACCGCCTCGGTCGCCGACGTGCTGGCATACACAAAGGTCGCCGGGCGGGATCTGTTCCGCAAGGTCGACGGATTCTCCTCACCCACCATGTTCCGCCTCGCCACGCCCGAGGAGATCTTTCCGCTCCCGCCGCCGCCGACGATGACGTCGTCGGCGGCGGCCGGCTCTAGTGGCACTGCTGTTGCTGCTGCTGCCGGTGCGTATGGCGCTGGTGGGGGCACATACTCGGGCACGCCCGCGGCGGCGCAGCGAGTGCCTGACTCGCCGACAGTCCCGTCGCCGGCTGGCGGCGTGGTCAAGTCCGGGCCGACGGCGGCGGCAGCGGCGCGGCGAAGCGCCGAGCCGCTCTCTATCGCCGGCCTCGGTCCGCCGGGCGTGGTTGTTGATGCCGAGACGCTCGGCAAGGCAGTGACCAACGGTGAGGAGAAGGGCGCCAAGGCGCTGATGGAGATGGCGCCGCGGCTGGTCGGCAGCAAGCTGGCGGCGGCGGTGGCGCGAGTCCTCAACCCGGACCCCATCAAGCGCAAACGCGGGCGCCCGTCCAAGGCCGCCAAGGCTGCTGAGGCTAAGGCGCGGTGGACGGCGGCGACGGCCATCTGCGCCGTCCTCCGGCAGCACGGCGTGGCCATCCGCGGCTCGCTCCTTGACGCCATCGCACACATCACGCTCACCCTCCCTCTCGGAGAGTACCCGAGCCCGCTGGCGCCGGCGGCACGCGCCGCCGATGCGCAGGCTACAGCAGCGAGGCTCTACTTTGACGTCTCTGGTCCGGTTATCCGCGGCCCTGCAGGGGCGCTGGTCCACACCGGGCGCCCACCGCCGCCGCCAGCTGCCACAGCGCGGCCGGCGGCGAGCACCTCCTCTGCGCCGCCGTCTTCTACGGCAGCGCCAGCGCTGCCTGTCGCCTCGCGTGAGCTCCTCTTTGACCTCCGCAAAGGCGCGTTCACCCTCGAGTCGGCCGAGACCGTCGGCAGCGGCGTCCGCGAGGTGAGCCGGAAGCAGGCGCCGACCGACCCGCCGACCGGCATCACCATTGTCCGTCCGCCGTACCTTCTTCCCTCACGTTACCCTGTTGTTCTTGCCGCGCACTCGGAGTGGTCGCGGAAGCGCAAGCGCGACGGCGTCGATGCCCGCATCCGCGACCTGCTCGGCCCCGAGGAGCCCGACGGCGAGAGCGCGAATGCGGGTGGAAACACCGGCGGCGGGAAGGGCGGCGGGAAGGGCGGCGGGAAGGGCGGGAAGTTCAAGAAGCGCAAGACGACGGTCCGGGCCTCGCATCCGCCGACCAAGCCCGACTCGCGGGCGTCGATCCTGCGGCGGGGACAGTAAGTAGTAAAGAGCGGGGGCGGGTTGCCGGGCGCAGAGCGTGCTTTACATAGTGTAGTGGCGCTGCAGCGGGCGGAGGTACTCGCGCTTCGAGTCCTTGCGGAGTGCACGTTCAAAGCGCGAGAGAGTGTCATCTGCAGCGTCGTCGTCGTCGTCGTCGTCGTCGTCGTTGGCGGCGACGAGGAGGCGCATGTTGCGCTCGCGGAGCTTCTCTGCACGGCGCAGGAGCGTGTTCATCGAGGCACGGCGGGTGCGAATGGTCTCGTTACAGATGTTGGACGAGGAGCGCTGGCGCATGGCCGGGCGCTTGCGGGTGCGGACGCGCGAGGTGCGGGAGCGGAAGGCAGCAGCGTCGTCGCCCTCGGGCGCGGACGCGTCGTCTGCAGAGGAGCCCGGAGTGCCAGCAGCCGAGGCAGCAGCCGAAGAGGCCGGAGGCTCCGAGGCTGCAGTGTCGGGAGCGGTTGCGGGCTCGGGCGCCTCTGCGGCGGCCTTTTGGTTGGCGCGCTTGCGGGCGGCGGCGGCGCGGGCGGCGTCCCGGAGGGCCTTTGCAGAGGCCTTGCGCGAGACTGGGCTGGCCGGGCCGGCGTCGGTCTGCATGGGCTCGTCGTCGTCCGAGTCCGAGTCCGAGTCGCCCTCGATGAGCTTGAGCGAGACGGCAAAGAACTGGGTGACCTTTTCCATGACGTACGGCAGCGACCAGTTGAGCGAGTCCATGTAGTCGGGGAGGCCAAAGGGATGCTCGACGCACTCGTACGAGACAAACTCGAGGGTGGTGCCGTCGTAGAGGGCGACAGCGGCCGAGTTGTCGTACATCTCGCAGTAGTTGGGGGCGGAGAAGACGGTGGTGACGAGCGGGAAAGGCGAGAGCGGGTCGTCCTCGGCCTCCTCGCGGAAGCGATGCTCATTGTAGCCGTTCTCCTGGACCTCGTGGGCGCGGATGATACCGACGAGACCGTTGGCGGTGAGAAAGTCGCGAACGGCGCGACGGCCGTAGCGGTACGAGCACCCGCGCTGCTCGTTGAACTCAAAGGTGATCTCCTTCCACTGGCGGAGCTGCGAGCCCGAGAGGCCGGTGGCGGTGGCGTCCGGGACCGGGTCGGACCACATCAGGTCGCACAGCGGACCCGAGGCCGGGACCTCGCCAAAACGAGCCAGGGCATTGATGGCTTCGATGGTGTTGACGGCCGGCGAGAGGCCGCCGTGGACGCAGAGAAAGGTGCCGGCGGGGCCGGCGACGGTTGCAGCGACGGGGAGCGCGTCAAAAGCCTCCATAAACTCGTTGTACGTCGTCTCCGAGTACTTGTACAACGTCTCGGTCTTCATCGAGTGGTAGGCGGCCATGGCGCGCGACTCGTGGTTGCCGCGGATGAGGGTGACATGCTCCGGGTAGCGGATCTTGAGGCCGAGGAGGAGGATGGCGACCTCTGTCGAGTAGATGCCGCGATCGACGTAGTCGCCAAGGAACAGATACTTGCGCTTCGGCGGCAGGCCAAGCGAGTCGAACATGTGCAGCAGGTCGTAGAACTGGCCATGGATATCGCCCACAATGTGCATGGGTGCCTCCAGTGGCACGCAGTTGGGCTCACGCGAAAGCACCTCGCGCGCCGTCTCCAGCAGTTGCGACGCAGCCTCTAGCGAGAGGCGTCCCTCGGTCTGTGTGTGGACAATGGGTGAGGGGAGGGGGGTAAGGGAGGGTAGGGGGAGGGGGGGGGGGAGGGGAGGGGTAGGGGTAGGGGGAGGGGAAGGGGGGCGCTCTCAGCACCTAGATCCTC